ATTAGAAATTAGGGAACATTGATAACTGGAGAGATTTCTGAAATTAAAGGGGGTAGCAGAAAGGCCAAAGGAGTAATAGGTGGGGGGGGGAGTTGAAATAATTTTGGAAAGGCAAATTACTCAGACACTGAAATTACATTTTCATTGATTTCAAGTAGGTTTATAGCTGGCAGAATTAGGTAAATATTTTATGCAATATCCTTTTTTCTTAAAATTATACAGGAAAGTGCATATAATTCTGGAATGAAAAATATTCAAGAGCTAAAAAAAGAAGAGAAAAGGAAAGATAATAGTAACCGGACAGGTTCTGAGGCCTGACCTGTCTTCCAGTGCATTTCAGGGCTTGGGGATGGGAGAGGAACTGTTTGCTCATCACAAATGTAAACTGGAGCACGCGGCAGGCAGCTGTCATGAACCTTCCTGAGGGCCCCAAGTGGCACATGCCTATGAGGTGAAGGTGCCGCTAGGGCTTGGGAGAGATGTCACTTGTCACTTGTCAGTAGCTAGTTTGGGGAAGATTCGAGTATGGTAAGCATGGAAGAAGGGTGTTGCCCGCTACCTCCTTCTGTTGGGGGAAGAGTCCGTCCTGAATGGACTCCACTCCCACCTCCATGCCAAGGAGTTCCCAGGCACCAAGGACTGCAAATCCCATCATGCCATGGATATACCATGACTCTTGACTTCCCGGAGGTGGGATTGCTGGGAACTAAGGGTGGAGTTAAGGAGTCAGGCTTGGGATAAGCCAAACACCTGTGGGCCTGCACTCTGCTTGGGCCTGCCGTCAGCGCTCTCGGGGTCCCAGCTCAGACTGCGTTACCGGTAGGACACATTCACCAATTAATCTCTTTCTCTCTCTCTCTCTTTCAAGTTTATTAACCTTTCTATGTGTGCCTACAATTGGGTCTTGTTCTAAGTTTTTTTAAGCATTCAGGTGAGGACTAACACCCAGGTCATCCCAATGGTCAATTAAGATGCCAGTGAGAGGTAGAGCCTTCCTACCATGGTGTCCTCCAAATCCAACTCTCCCAGGTTGGCGCTGCCTTTAGCTTTCATTCTCCAGCATGTTCTCTTCTTTTTTTTTTTTTAAAGATTTATTTATTTATGCATACAAGAACTGGGGTACAGGCCAGAGGTGCGGGTGGTGAGAAGATTCACCATGGACAGAGTGGGGAACAGAACAGGCAGACTGACTGAAATGCACTGCTGAGGGGAGCAGCGGGCGAGAAAGGAGAGGTCTGCTGCACCATGTGGGTAGCTCCCTGGCCGACCAGGGATAGAACTCATGCTGCAGTGGCTGCAGATAGCTTCATAGGTTGTGTCTTAACCCTCTGCACCACCAGGGAGGCCCAGCATATTCTTTTCTTAAGTTCAAATACAAATTAAACCAGAGGCACCAGTTACTAAATTTTAGCCTAGGAAGTGCCATCCCCTAAGATATGCCCAGTGAAAACCATGCTGTAAAGACTGATAATTTTACAATCTATGAAACCAGTTTGTGTTGCTAGCTAGTGTGTAGCTTATTGGTTATCCTACTCTTCCTCTCCCTCCCTCCCACTAGAGGAGCCAATAAAGGAAAAACAGATAAGTCAAACTTTTCAATTTGTTGGTTTTTATAGTAGTGAGTTTTTTTAAAATGAAATCTGAATTCCTGTAAATGTTCCATATTACTTTTATGTCTCTTTTCCATCACTGTGGGTAATTAGAATCTGAGTGCATTTACAATTCCCAGATTTTGATAACTCTTACATTCAAATACATTTGATGTTAGTCATGGATAGTATCCTGGGGCAAAGATATATAGCCTATATATAGTCTATATAGCCAGGTATTTAGACGTGAGTGAGAGAAGTATCTCAAAGAGCAAATGTTCTCAACGTGCAGGGTTTTTTTGTTTGTTTGTTTTCAAAAAGTCTGTACTTTCCATAAAGCTTTGGTGTGAGGGGTCTGTATCTGTAAACATCACCAATTTGTAAGCAGTGCTATTTTTCATAACTCCCAGCGCTTATGCTTGCAATTATATAAGGTATAAGTTGGCAAGCTGTAGATGTTGTTTTTATGCTGCTGCAGAAAGGAGCATACAAAGATATCTATAAAGATAAGCCACATCTTAAAAACCACACACAGTTTAAAAGCAATCTTAATGATACCTAATACAATATAGAGCTAAGATAGCTGTTTGTTTTGTTTCCAGCCAGCTCCAATCATTTATATATGAATACACACACTCTCTCAGCTCTCACAGTGCTCTAGGAGAGAAGCACAGTGGTAATCCTGATTTTTTTGATGGGAATATTGACAGAGAGAGTAGGCAGAGCTACAAAGAGGATGTTGGGAGGCTGAGCATTGGGATAGTTCGGCTCAGGTTGGCACCAAGAATGTGGAACAGAGAAAAACCCTTCAGAGTCTATAATTACTGACCTAAGATCAACCAAAGTCTGAAAAGAAAATAGCAACTTCCTAATGTACTAAACTGAATTAGGTGACTGAACAGCTTTACAAGCATTTAAAAAAATCACACATAGGACAAATAGAAGTAACAGGCGCAAATTAGCCTTGACCCGTTGAAGGAAGATGAAAATGATGTTTGAGATTCTGCCAAAGACCTCCTCAATAATAGGAAAATAAAAATTGTGATGTAGAAAACATGATCAGAAAAGTTAGCGATGCCTTTAATAAAATAAGCTATGATAAATCAGGATTTGTTATATATTTATGATGCCAAACCCAGAAATAAAAATGTATCATTGAAATAGGGTATCTAAATGAAAATATTTTAAATATTAGAATGTTGCTAATCTTCAGGAGCACACTCCTGGTGTTCATCTCACTGTTTAGGTGCTGACACTGGTGAAAATATTATGAAAAATATCACTATCATTTCTCAAGGAGAGGATTTATTAGAATATGTTTTTCTCATATACCTAGTATAACAAAAGTTATACTGTGGTATAAAGCAATCATCTTTGTGTCCCATTTACTAAAATTTCAGAATAAAACTATTTAAAAAGGTACGAAAGAAACTTCCCTGATGAAAAATCTATGGAGCAGAGTGCCACAAAAATATGAAACAGAATATTATGAAGGATGCACTCTACAGTAGCATGCTGGTTTGAGTCACAACTCTGTCACTCTACTAGCTTAGTCAAAATTCCCTTGGACACATTACTTGATCTCCTCAATTTTAAAAACAGAAGTAATAAAAATTTAAAAATAATTAAAAAATAAAAGGAAGTATTAAGAGAACCTATTTCATAAGGCTATTGTAAGAATACAATAATAATATTTGCAGTGCTCTGCTTGGTATATAACAGTACTCAGCACCTGTTAACTATTTTCTTTATGTAAGCTCTTTATACTCTCCATGCATACACACACACACACACACACACACACACACTCTTTTCTCATCACATATACTCTTTATACACAGCCCATACTAAAGGCAGCAGTAGAAAATCAATTTCCTAAAGATTCCTACATCCTCCAGAAAAAAAGTAATGCACAACCGACAAGCCATTTTAATAATTCCTTTTTAAAATTCTCTAACATTTGACAAGAAGATTGAAAGGAAATCACCAGCCTCATGAATTGCAGGTCACATCCATAAACATATGGGTTTCGGCAGAGATATGTGGCTATAACTCATGGAAGGCAAAATATTTGACATAATTATTCTGACTAGGTATCCCATGCCTTTCCCAATACAAATAAATGAGCCTAGGGAGACGGTAAAAGGCAACAGCCTGTAGCTAAAAAACAATAACCACAAATGAACTGATCTCTAAATGCCAAAGCATTCACCTGTAACCAAAACCGGTCACATCTGGGTATCTGAGCCACTGCTAGAGCATTAAAAAAAAGAAAAAAAAAACCTGCATCAGGCAGAGTTTCTTTTCTTTTTTAAATTTAATTTTCATTGTGGCACACCCAAGCATTAGTTTATGATGTTATATAGGTTTCCCGTGTACAGCATTATAAATCAATGTCTGTATTTACTACATTATGTTCACCCCTAAAAGTTCAAATCTGTCTTTCCTCCATACAATCGACCTCCTTTGCTTCTTCCCTTCTGGTAACCACTAAGTTTACTCTTATAACCCAAAAGTTCATTTCTGTTCTATTTAGCACATCAGTTTTCATTATGTATCATATATGACGAAAGTCAGACCGTGATTATCTGGCTTACTTTACTAAGCAGAATGCCCTCTAGCTTGGAGCTCGTTGATGCAAATGGCGGAATTTCACCTTTTTTTAAGAGCTGAATATATATTCCGTGTCTAACCCACATCTTCTTGATCTTAGCATGTGTCATTGGGTACTTGGCTTCTTTCCAACTCTTGGCTACTGGGATTAATGTTGTGATGAACCAGGGAGTGCAAATATCTCTTTGAATTAGCATTTTTGTATTCTTTGGGCAAATACCCAGAAATGGGATAATTGGATCACATGGAATTTCTACTTTTAATTTTTCAAGGAGTCTCCATAATGTTTTCCAAAATGGCTGAACCTATCCATATTCCCTCCAAGAGCTGTACAGTTTCTTCACAAAGGTTTACTAGGTGTTGCTTGTTAAGGCAATAATAAAGAGAATAAATTTAAGCCAACTGGCCCAGAAACTAGCCTTTGACAAATATCATTTTTGATGGACAAAAATCAAGACAAGCTTTCCATCTTCTATTCATTCTTTCTTCCCCGACTTACACTCTCCTCCTTTTCTTCTATTTGACTACAATTTTATGATTCTAGTAGATGACGTATGAAGTCCTATGCCTTGAGCTATTTAGAGACATGACATAAAATTTACTAGTGCTAATGCAGTAATTAAATGCATCTTTTGCCAATGGAGCACATATAATGTTTAAATCAAATGATGTCATCAAATACCATACATCTGCATGTCTCACGTTCATCCTAGGAAATTTTATGTACCATAATTTACAATATTAATGCACACACATTTCCTGCGAGCTAGAAACATACAGACTGAGACCATTACTTACTTTTGCTCCATGAAGAGAGGATCAAAGAATTCCGTTGTGATTTTGTTTGCATACAGGGAACAGCCAGTCATTGAGCACAGCCCTAAAAAGTATCAGTGGAGAAGAAGCAGGGTTAGTGTTATTTCATTATCATCTGGAAGTACCTGGCTTGGAAGAAAGTTACTACTTACCTGACAGGATGAATACAATCCCCGCCAAACAAGCAATTTTAGCTTTGGCTTTCTCCGAGCCTCCGACTTTGGTGCACTTCATTCCAAACAGGGCAAATATGGACCCGAAAAAGCCCAGGCTGACAGCTGCGATCATAAGCCCTCTACATGCCTGGATATAACCTGCAATCAGAGCAGGTCATTACATTAACATCGGCTGTCCAGAGAAACAGACTCATTTTACACTGTCCTTCCGAAGGGCTGTTCTGGCTTCTGAAAACAAGCATCCTGGTTAACACGCATGCAAGAAAGGAGAGCAAGTTTATCTACATGGGGTGTCTGTCTTATGTCCCACACTTTTCAGTTTACCTATGCACAAATGTCAGGGTAGATCTCTGACTTATTATTTTCATATGCATGAGGAAGGCAACAAAAGTTATATAAGCTACAAATGGGTAAGAAGAAGAGCATTCCAGCCATATCTGCCTACATTGTCCCTGAAGCCTTTCACCCTGAGAAACAGCACCTGCCACTCTCTCAGTCCTCTTACTCCTTTGCATGTCGGGGCTTTTCAATAGATGTTTCCATGGTTTTGATCATTAAAATGTGTTATTAGGCAGCAGGAGTTCCCCAAGGGTTAGATCTTCCAACATTATGAAAAGCTTGTAAATGAAAGCAGCTGAAATATCACTGTGAAGTAGGAAGATTCTAAGTCAAGAAGTATTTTAATGACATCATTTTCAGGACACATAGAATAAAATTGGGTTGTGAACAACACTGGTCGTTTACTAGAAGAATAAAATTGTGAAACGAAATGTTTGCATACAAACAGATGCTTTCGAAGGACCCTACCAGCCTGTCACACTGTTTGCTTGGCTCCTCCTACACCACTCATTTTCCTAGTCACATATTTTTATTTGCACAGTCAGGGTGATGGCAAATTTCAGCCCCGCTTTTGTCTAGACACTAGCAAATTTTAATGAATAGAATTTAAACAAATTCAACTTTTATCATGAAAGGTCATTTTCATTTCAATCTGAAACAGAGACTATTTCAATCTGAAATAGTGACTGATAGCACAAACGACGTGTAAGAACTACTTGTTAAGCCACTGAACATACACGGACATCAGATGTGCATCTGGAACTAAACTTTCTAATTTGAAAAACCTCATAAATGCTAAGATAGCAAGTCATTTGTTAATTTTGTCCAGGTGAAGCCCACAATAAACAATTCTAAGACGGTAATAATCATAAACATGGAATAATGCTGGCAAGAGGCCTCTGGTCCATGTTTCTTTGGGGAAGAATGAAAATTTTAGTTATAATTCCACTCTTATGATTCATTTTGAAGAATGCAGAGAAGATGTTCTATTGAATTGTAGCAAATTTCAGCCACAATAAGTGTACACTGCAAGAACCATGTTCTTCTCCTGTGGAGTATGAACTACTTCAACACAGAAAATAATTTCAATGATGGTGAAGCTACCAGATACAGCAAAAGAAACTGATTTTTAGCAAAATGGGATAATGGAGGCTCATCTGGGTAGCAACAATCCGTGTTGCAGGGCTACTTGTTGGACCCCTGCTGCCAAATACAGACCCAGGTCTATTTTCAACTTCAATCCACAAGCCCCCCAGCCAGAACCCAGCGACAGGTAGAAGCACAGAGAGAGAAGACTTTTAGCTGATGCTGACTGCAATCCTAAACAGACAAAAACATTGTGTGTGATATAACCTCTACAGCATGTGGGTTTTTTTTTTAAATATCATAAAACACTTTATCATGCACCATAATTTGCACTTATTTTAGGAAGCTTAGAGGCTTTAGAACAGAAAATGCAGGAGCCAGGCACAAGGCTAAGTCTTACAGTCTGATCCTTTAGAACATGAGGTGAATTTCCCTGGAGGATAAAGAATGGAGAGCATGCCAAGTGGATGCACTCAATCTTTGACACGACTAGGAAAATGAGCGCAGATGTCAAACTATATTTAGCCACAACTCATAATACATTTTTTTCTGAGTTTCTCATCCAGTTCTTCTGTCTCAGCCACAGCAACTGGACCGGCTTTGGTCTAAGCACAAGAACCAGGGGAAAGATGAAGAGGGCAGGTTCTGATGGGATTGGGTTCTTCCCTGGGAGCAGCCAGAACTCTGATTTGGAGGGTCAGGAACCTCTTTCTGGTATTAACAGCAGCAATAACTTGCTAGTTTATTGCATGTCCAAAAGAACTTGACACCTCACCAGCATAGTCAGTGGCTACATTTTCTAAAACAGGAACAACAAGCAGGGGTTGGGGCTCCTGGGGGTACACAATGCACTCCCCTGCTAGTTGTAAAGAGAACATGTTGGCAAACCCAAGGTTTGTAAATCAGGGGCTACCAGTCCGTGAAACTCTCCACACTCAAGCCTTAGGTTACTTCCAACAAACCGGTTCAGAGTTTATATTTTGCAACCTTGCTTTTTCCAACAACTCCGGAGGGTAAAGCTTGTAAGTAGCGCCATCCAGTCAAGTGGTAGTAAAACCCAGTCAAGGAGGCCATTATCTTTGACAGGTCTAATTTACTGACACCGTTAATAGCTAATTAACACATTAAGGTGCTGAGGCATGAACATATTTACTTAGAAGTTCTCTGAAGTATAATTTATAGTCAATTCTTCTGGAAGAAATGGCAAACATCCCCACTAAGAAAAATAGATGGCATATACTAAAACAAGTTGGCTGAAAATCATTCTCAACTGAAGTTCAAATGGTGCTTTGAAAGGAATATGGGTTAGCAGGAAACAGAAATCACCAGCTCATTCAACTGTAAAATCTTCAATTAGTAAAACACAGTACTTTAAAATGCATGCAGTCTATTGGAGGCAACCTTGAAGGTGTCCCTTAAAGGTTAAGTGTTTTCCAAATGATGTGTACACTATTTTCCATTTCAAACCAGCAAAAATGAAAATATCCACTTGGTGGAGACAATTCCCTAGTAGCACATGTGCTGGCTGCTGGACTGAAGGGGAGAAAAAGAACACATTTCTCCTCTGCTAGTAGCTTTGTGTTCTTTTTGCAAATCCTTTGAAGGCAGAGTGCTAGGTGGCATGAACTGTGAATTTCAGCTCTGGTTCTATTTCCCTGCTGTGTGCCAAAGATTACACTGCCTAGCCTCTCTGAGCCTTGATATTCTCATCTATAAAACAGTAGTAAGAGCACTTACTTCACCGGATCAATAATATAAACTCTGGTGAGTGGGAAGAAACTCATCGAAGCTTCCCTTCCATGATACCAACAGTGAGTGCAAGCAGAAATTAGACTTGGAGTTCTAGAACTCTAACTTGGAGTTCTGCATGTCTAAACCTAGACATGTAGCATTTCTCAGCTTCACTTTTCTTATAGGGAAAACTGTGGGACAATGATACCCCCAAAGGTAAGGAATCAGCTTGGACATCAAATAGGAAATTCAGAATAATGACTCCATCACTTGCATTGAAAGGCTTGTTTTTCCACCTAAGACTAGACATGAGAGAATCTTGAGTCTTCTCTGTCCCTTGTGGTACTTTCTCAATCTAGAGCTTCTGCCTGGTTGGAGGGGAGGCTCGGTCTGCTCAGATCAGTGGCTACCACATCCCATGGGAATGCAGCCTTCTCCCGCCACTTCAAAGGTAATGCCAGGACGTCCCTGTGCAATGGGGGTAGGCCTCAGAACTGTGGGAGGACACAGCAGAGGGGACTGATCCAGGACATTCCTTTTGTAGGTGGCGGGAATCCACTGCTCTCTGTATGAAAATGTAGTTGTGTGATTGAATCCCCCAAAATGTTACTCTGGGAGAAACAGAAAAGTAAACTTATCACTTTGAGCTAGGGAATGTCTTCTCAAGCCACAAAAGGCTGGCACGCAGGAAAAAACCAGCACATTGGTGACAGTACACATTTAAAGTTTCCTATGAGAAAAGACATCCTATATTTAAAAGACAAGCAGTGGACTGAGAATGCAGCATATATAACCAATCAATGATTGACACCCAGAATTATAAAATAAATTATTTGAACCAGAGGAACAATAGAAGCTCTGGCACAGATACAGACAATTCACCAAAGAGGGGGAGAAAAAATAAGTACATGCTAAATTGGTCAAAATCAGAGATAATCAGGGGAATGCCAATTAAAATGATATGTCATCCAGGATAATGGATAAAAATAAAAGGCAGTGAGAATGTGGAGAAACAGCTATTCTCACGTATTATTAGTGGAAAGTAATTTGGTAATAAATTACAGTGCTTGTAATTTAAGTAATAGAGACTTAACATGAGTATTTGCCCTGAGAATACCATTTCTCAGTATCTACAGCAATATACATGTGCACCAAGAGACAAATGCAAAGATTTTCACTAAAGCACTAACACCCGTGAAAATCTGAAAAGTGTCCAATGTCCAATAATGCGTAAATGGTTAGATGAGCCGGCCTGTCCAGACTGAAGAGTGCTAGGAACCCGTTAAAGAGAATTACTTCTCTACGTGCTGACCTTGAAGAGAAATGTTATTCATTTTAAGACATTCCAAAACAATGGGGAGTGTGACGCCACGTGTTTTTCTAGACACGTGAGCACCCAGGGAAGGCCGTTTTGCAAATGGGTTGTATACAAATGTCCCTCTTCTTTGCTCCATTGTCAAAGGGGACTGGGGTGTAACTATTGAGGGCTGTGACCTCCTTCCTCCTCACAATCCCACCTGACCCCAGATCTTGACAACCAATCCACTCTTTTTTTTTTTTTTTTTTTTTTAAATTTTTTTTTTTAAGATTTATTTATTTATTTATTTATTCATACAAGCACTGGGTACAGTCAGAAGCCGGGAGGGCGAGAGAATTCACCAGAGCCAGAGCGGGGAGCAGAGCAGGCAGAAGGACCGAAGTACACTGCTGAGGGGAGCAGCGGGCGGCAGGAGAGGTCTGCGCGCCATGCGGGACCCTCCTCTGGTGGCCGGGGAGCAGCCGGGGATCGAACCGGCACTGCAGAGGCTGCGGGCAGCTTCGCAACCCCGCGCTCAACCACTGCGCCACCGGGGAAGCCCCAATCCACTCTTATCTCAGATGAGTAATGTGAAAATTTCAGCCGTCTGCACCCAATAATTTCCATGAAATATTTATTTCTCTCTTCTTTGTCCCCCAACTGTCCTATAGCAGGAAGCTTCCCC